CCTCGTGTCTGCTGCGGCTGCTGCTGCTGCTGCTGCTGCAGCTGCCGCAGCTGCAGCAGCAGCGGTTGCTGCTGCAGCAACCAGAGCAGGACCGGCAGCAGCAGCTGCTGCTGCTGCTGCTGCCTGTGCTGCAAGCACGGAAGCCTTTGGGGTATCTGCTGCAGCAGCAGCAGCAAGCGCAGCAACAACTGCTGCAACAAGAAAAACAGCAGCAACAGCTGCGCACTGAACGATCACTAGTAGCAGCAGCAGCTGCAGCAGCAGCAGCAGCTCGTGCTGCTGCTCTTGCGGCTGCTGCAGCAGCAGCAACTCGTGCTGCTGCAGCAGCAGCAGCAGCAGCAGCAGTGCTGCTGTTAAGATTGAGGGGGAGCGGCGTCTCCACTACCCACTGAGATCTGCAGCAAAGACCTCACGACTGCAGCAGCAGCAGCAACAGCAGCAGCAGCAGCAGCAGCAGCAACATAAGCACCGATATCTAGAGCAGCAGCTCGCACTTTTTGGTTGATTCAGCAGCAACAACAAACAAAGGAGACGGTAGCAACAGTAGCAGCAGCAGCAGCAGCAGCAGTAGCAATGGAAGCAAAGCAAAAGTGCAGCAGCAGCAGCAGCAGCAGAAGCAGCAGCAGCAGCAGCAGCAGCAGCAGCAGCAGCAGCAGCAGCAGCAACTTGCCTTGTCTACAAATAGGGCATTTGTTTGTCTGTAGTCTCATTATGCTTGCACACTGCAGCAAACAAAAAAGAGGTTTGGGCTCATATTAGGGTTTAGGGTTTAGGGTTTAGGGTTTAGAATTAGGGTTTAGGGTTTAGGGTTTAGGGTTTACAGCAACGCCAGCGGAAGGAAACAAAGAAAGACAGAGACATAAGCAAATACAAAAGGAGACAAAAGAAGAGACAGCAGCAGCAACATCAACAGCAGCAGCAGCATGAACAGCAGCAGCAGCCGCAGCAACTGCAGCAACAGCAGCAGCAGCAGCAGCAGCAGCAACAGCAGCAGCAGCAGCAGCGTTTGCTTACCTCGCTGCAGAGACACATGTGGCGGCAAGGCAGCACAGCGGTGGTTCGCTCCTCAGCCAGACATATCACGCACTCTCTGAGCAGCAGCAGCAGCAGCAGCAGCAGCAGCAGCAGCACAAGTGCACACGCTATTGATCCTGCTGCTGCTCCTGTTGCTGCTGTTGTCGTTCTTGTTGCTGCTGCTGCTGCTGCTCAGGCAGCAGCAGCAGCAGCAGCAGTAAGGGGAAGGTGCCATTAATAACAGCCTCAGCAGCAGCAGCAAGCAAGCAATAGCAGCAGCAACAACAACACAAGCAACAG